GAGACGTGCAAAGGGATACTAACTTAGAAGACAGTAAGGATGATTGGTTTATGGAAAGTATAGGAGGGACCAGTAGTTTGTTGGATTATCATGTGCTGGGGAGTTGGAGAGAACTCATGATATGTTTCAAGTGATTGAGGATGAGTGGGCGATGGTGAAGTCTATGAAGAGAACTGGTGGAAGGGGGGGAGAGAGCTGAAAAGTTTGTTTTCCAGTGTCAACATGAAGGGGAGAGAGAGAGAGGGGGGGGGGGGGGGGGGGGGGGGTGTGGGGGGATCTATGAAGCTCAAGATTGTGTCTTGGAATGTTCGGGGATTGAATGACCCGAACAAAAGAAGGGTGGTGAAGGTTCTTCTACGTACATGGGGGGTGCATGTGGTATATTTGCAGGAGTCTAAACTGGATTCGGCTTCTGACCATGTTATTAAAAGTTTGTTTTGGGTTTGGGGTTGGGGGTGGAGGGGGGGAGAGATGTGGTTGGGGTTTGTGGATTGGGAGGTGGTTGATGCCGAGGGGACTGTCAGAGGTATTGTGGTGCTTTGGGATAAAAAGGTGGGTATCGAAATCGGACGTGTGGAAAGGGAGATACTCTATTTTTTGTGTTGTTCTTGCTGGAGGAAGATGGTTCACAGTAGGTGTTTTCTGGTGTGTATGGGCCGAGAGGGGATGTAGGAAGAAGAGGTTTGTGGGAGGAGCTGGGGTTTGCTAGATCAAGGTGGGCACTCCTGTGGTGCATTGGGGGAGATTTTAATGCTGTCCATACGCCTAGTGAGAGATCCACAGGAGGTATTTGGTCGTAGGCCATGACTGAATTTTCGGACTTTATTGGCACCCACCACCTTATTGATGTCTAGTGGAAGGGATTCACCTACATTGTCATGGCTGGATAGATTCTTGGTGTTGGGGGATTTGGAGAAGTTCCCTGATATGTCTCAGGTGGCTTTGGCCTGGGCTATTTTGAACCATATTCCGATTCTTCTTGATTGTGGAGGGGTGAGGAGAGGGAGATCGCCTTTCCGGTTTGAAAATATGTGGCTCTGTGATGTTGATTTCAAAGATAAGGTTCGGATTTGGTGGATGGGCTATGATGTTAGGGGCAGTCCGAGTTTCCGGTTGGCATCCAAATTAAGGTTGTTGAAGAGCAATATTAAGACTTGGAACAAAGAAGTGTTTGGTAGCCTTGTATGGAGAAAGAACAGAATCCTCCAGGAAATCTCAGTTCTAGATAGGAAGGAGGGTGAGGAAGGGCTTAGTAGTAAGAAGGTGAGCAGAAGGGAGGAGTGTAAGGTTGAGTTTGGAGAGATTGTGGAGAAGGACGAAATCTCTTGGAGACATAAGTCTATATCCCTTTGGCTTAAGGAAGGTGATCGAAACACCAAGTTTTTTCGCCGTATGTCTAATGCTCATAGAGGAGGTAATCACATTGGGAAGATTCGACTTAATGGGGTTACGGTAACTGCAGATGATGACATGCGAAATGGGTTTGTGTTTTTTTTTCTTTTCAAGCAGCTCTTTGAGGAGAATGCTTCATGGAGGCCTTTGCTTGATGGACTTGAGTTTGCGGTTATCTTGGATGGTGATAGAGACTGGCTTGATATGCCGTTTGGGGAGGAGGAGGTGTTGGCGGCTTTGGGGATAAAGCCCCTAGACCGGATGGGTTTTCTTTAGCTTTCTTTCAGCATAATTGGGAGGTGGTGAAGGTTGAGGTGATGGGGGCTATTGGTTACTTTTTCCTGCATTGATCATTTAAGAAGAGTCTTAATGCTTCCTTCATTACTCTGGTCCCAAAAAAGAGTGGAGCTATTAGGACTTCAGACCCATTAGCCTTGTTGGGGCTGTGTATAAAATTATTGCGAAAGTGTTAGGACTGAGGAAAGTGCTTGATGGGGTAATCTTGGATTCTCAGAATGCTTTTGTTGGAGGGCGTCAAATTTTGGATTTTGTGTTGATCGCCAGTGAATGTATTGAGGCTAGGGTGAGGAGTGGAATTTTGGGGGTGGTGTGCAAATTGGATATTGAAAAGGCTTATGACTATGTTAGCTGGGATTTTTTGATGTATTTGATGAGGAGAATGATCTTTGGTCAAAAGTGGAGGGAGTGGAATTATTATTATTATTTTTTTTGTATTTCAACAGCATGGTTCTCTGTTTTAGTGAATGGATCTTTTGACTAGTTTCTTTGCTAGTTCTCAAGGATTGAGGCAGGGGGACCCTCTCTCCCCTTTCTTGTTTATTATTGTTATGGAGGCTTTTAGTCGGTTGATGGGTATGGCGGGGGAGCTTGGGTTTATTCAGGGATTCTTAGTGGGTAGAGCCCCTTAATCTTCGTCAGCTGATGTATTTAAGGTGCGTGCTAGCTTGCTTCCAAGTTGTTTTTGGTTTGAAGTTAAATATTGGAAAAAGTGAGATAGTCCCAGCTGGGGTGGTGGAAGATATTCAAGTTCTGGCTAATACACTGGGATGTGGTGTTGGCTCTTTTCCGATCTCCTACTTGGGACTCCCTTTGGGAGCGCATCGTGGAGGAGAATTTTTGTGTGGGATCTGATTGTAGAGAGATTTGAGAGGAGGCTTGCAGGGTGGAAGAAACAATACTTGTCAAAAGGGGGGAGGGTTACGCTTATGAAAAGCACACTCTCCGCCTTCCGACATATTTTTTGTCGCTTTTCCCAATGCCTAAGACAGTTGTTAGAAGACTTGATGTTATTTACAAGAAGTTCTTGTGGGGTGGTTTAGGAGATGAGTTCAAGTTTCACTTGGGCATTCGAAGGCTCGATGTGTTTAATAAGGCGCTGTTGGGAAAGTGGTTGTGGAGGTTTGGGAGAGAGAGGTCCAAGCTTTGGAGGTGTGTCATCACTTGTCGTTATGGGGAGGGTATTGTTGGGTGGCAGTCTTGGGAGGTTAGATTCCCAGCGGGTTTGGGCTCGTGGAAACTTATCCGTAGAGGTTGGGATGAATTTTCTAAAAGGATTCGGTTTAAGGTTCAAAGTGGAAGAAATGTCAGATTTTGGGAAGACATATGGTGTGGGGATTTGGCTTTGGCCCATAGGTTCCCGCTTATGTACCGAATTGCTGTGAATAGAGATGCTTTAGTTGCTGATTATTATCGTCTTGATAATGGTAGGGTGATTTGGGATGTACGGTCTCGTAAACAGTTCCATGATTGGGAACTAGTGGAAATTACAGATCTTTTGGCTTTCATTTATAGCCAGATGGTGGTCGGGGTGGGCATGGATGAGATGGTGTGGGTGGGTGCCTCGAGAGGAGTGTTCGAGGTCAAGTCTTTCTATTTTAGTATGGTGGAGTTTCTTGGCCCTATTTTTCCTTGGAAAGCTGTTTGGAGGGCGAAAGCACCACTGAAGGTAACTTTTTTCTCGTGGACAGTTGCTTTGGGAAGCATCCTCACTATTGATAATCTTAGAAGAAGTCGAGTTGTGGTAAACAGGTGCTACGTGTGTAAGGAGATGGGGGAATCTGTCAACCATCTTCTTATTCATTGCTCAGTGGCAAGGGATGTCTGGACCATGTTTTTGGTTGCTTTTGGTATTCCATGGGTGTTCTCAGATTCTACGGTTGACTTGCTTGTGACTTGGAGAGGGTGTACAGTGGAGAGCCGAGTCAGAGATGCTTGGAGAGCCACTCCCTTGTGTATATGGTGGGGTTTGCGGCGAGAGAAATAGGAGATACTTTGAGGGTGTGGAGTCTCCTATTTGAAGTATAGTATACTTTCTTCTTTATTCTTTTGGGTGAATGGGCGGGATTGTATGTCAGTGGATTGTCTTTTGGATTTTGTTGATAGCTTGAAATGTTAGTGTCGTTGTTTGGTTTGGGAGTGCTGCCCGTTTCAACGTATTTATAAAATATTTTAATTATCTATAAAAAAAAAGAAAAGAAAATCATTTAGTATTTTTGCCCACCGAGGCAAAAATACTAAATGCATCTCCCGCAAAGACTGAACCGAAGCATTGTCCAATGGACAAAGTGCCAAGGAGAATTATGGGAGTTGAGTTGGCTGACTTCAGTTCCAGTGAAGATAGGACTTCGTTCCTAAGGCCAAGCCCACTGCGGGAACCGAGAAAGATTTGAGATTCCGTAAGTCAGTTTAGGAGACCGAAGGATTCTAGCCTATCATATCTCGGCTAACATAAATGTCCCCCCCCCCCCCCCCCCCCCCACAAAACAACAACACACACCACCCCAACCCCCACCCACCCAACAAAAAAAAAAGGCACACTCATCGAACTCCAATTCACTAGAGTTTTTGCACTGTCGACTGGTCCTCTTCTGGCCTTCCCATTCTGTGAGTTGGACAAATTAGGTTCTAAGTAGAAAATTTTATTGAACAAGTACTTCAAAACGCTTAACCTATGAAGTAAGTGTAAGTTTATTCTGAAGGATAAATGAAGAACTTTGCCTAATAAATGAAGGGCTCTGTCTTGTATTGGTATCTACGTGGCTTTTATATTGTTATGTTACACAACAGTCTTGGTCATAGAGGGAGGATGTATTTTGTCTGCATGTTAATACTAGTAACGGTTCTAAAATGTAGCTCTCTCCCTCTTGATATTTAGTTTGCTGCTGAAGGGTGGATGGGAAAACTACTTCGATTATGCTGATGTGGTCTGGGACGAGGTATTGCCGTATTGATATGGATAGGAAAGAGACATAAAATGTAGTGAATGGAGGGATGTGCCCTGGTGAAACTATTGGTTGTTTTATTGGCCAAAAAAGTTTGACATCTTATATTCAGGTTGATGTTAATGGAGCTACAAAGGACAACTTAGCAAATAAATAGGTTATTTTATTGTATTTCGGTTTAAATTGTTTTGGGTGTAAACCATTGGAACAGATACTATACTATGGAACTTCGCTTTCAAATCAGAAAGATTAGAGATCTACCTTTTTTATCACTTTCATTATTATTTGACATGACGATTCACTGCATATCTCTAGTTATTTTATTGTATTATTATTTTTTTATCACTTTTGTTTGGAATGAATCAGGTATTTATTTGTGAACAAAAGCTATACACTAGAGGACAACTTAATCAGCATATAAACACTGGCGACTCTGAGGTGGATGGAACTGAAAGTGAAAGAGGTGGCTTTATGGGGCATCCTATGTGTGAATTCTGCAGAACCCCATTTTATGGAGATAATGAACTGTACTTGCACATGTCTACTGAACACTATACCTGTCATATATGCCAAAGGTAAAGTATGCCTTCTTAAAATGTAATTATGTAATTTTTTTTATTGATATTCAGAACAAGTAAATTTCACATAACCATTTATGCTGTTTCATGCAGGCAGAATCCTGGGCAATACGAGTATTATAAGAATTATGATGACTTGGAGGCAAGATATTTTCTCCTTTTATATGATAATGTTAACACTCAGTGCCATATAGTGTTGTGAGTCAAATTATCTGTTTTAACAAATTAATCTTTCGCAGATCCACTTCGGTCGAGAGCATTTCTTATGCGAGGATGAGGCCTGCCTTGCTAAGAAATTTATCGTCTTCCAGTCTGAAGCTGAAATGAAAGTGAGTTCTGGGAGGACATGTGGTGTATAGTGGATGAGTTCTTTTTTCATTATGCATTTGAACTTGTAGAACGTGTGTGTATACATGTGTATATGTTGCTTTTTTGTTTTCAAGGAATATACAAATTTTGCATGGTTCGAGGTTGGTATAGTTTTTTTTATTCCCTTTTGCATTATAATTTTTTTTAATCCCTTATATTCCTTGTCTTTGAAATTTCAGAGGCATAACGCTATTGAACATGGAGGACGCATGTCTCGGTCTAAGCGTAACGCTGTTCTTCAGGCATGTAGTTCTATATCTCTTGCCATTATAAACACAAAATTAGTTCTTTCTGGAAGGCCTTTGTTCATGTGCGATGCTATTTTTATTCATCAATTGATGAACATTCTCATTTCATTGTTCATTTTGAAGCTAATTTGCTCATTCAATTTCCATTTGTCACATTTTTTTGTTTTTATTTATTTCCTTTTTATTGGTATCATGAGCATGAAAATATGATGTGGTCTCTTTTGTTTATATCGCCTGTTCCCAGATTCCGACCAGCTTCCGATATCGACGAAGTAATGAGCAAGATAACCGTCGTGGAAGGGGACGGTCATTCCGTCGTGACGCTTTTGACAATCAACTTTCCATGGCTATCCAAGCCAGTTTTGAGTTCGCTAATGCTGATGGCACATTTCATGATTCATTATCATCCAACACACAAGTATTTCCCGATGGTGGAGAGATAAGTGAGATTGATCCTATCATTCAACCATTTGAAGCCCTTGCTACAACAGATTCTGAGCGACCTTCAAGATACCGTCAGGCTTTGTCACAGAGCTCAATGAATGCACCACCACAAGAGTCTTCCTTTCCTCCCCTCCCCATAGCACCAAGCAGCAGTCGGCAAAAATCCAAACATGAGCCTGAGGGCTGGAGTTCAAGGAATGCAGCAACGCAGGAGTCTTCCTTTCCTCCCCTCCCCATGGCACCAAGCAGCAGTCGGCAAAAATCCAAACATGAGCCTGAGGGCCAGAGTTCAAGGAGTGCAGCACCGCAAGAGTCCTCCTTTCCTCCCCTCCCCATAGCACCAAGCAGCAGTCGACAAAAATCAAAACATGAGCCTGAGGGTGTACCTAGAAACACTATGGCTGCAAATCTGCGTCGCCAAAACAATGCAAATGTGGTTGTTAATTCGACTCAGGCCTGGCCAGCTGCAACTCGTGGACCTGTTCTACCTGCGGCTGGTTTAATCCGTACTAGACCTACAGCAAATAATGCACCTGGATCATCAGTTAGTTCTGTTCAAACTATATCGACAGCCGACAATGCACCTGCACCTTCTAGTTATTCAAGTATTTCTCGGGCTCGACCGGCATCACTTCATGAACCTTCATCTGCTGGTTCTTTGAGTTCCTCAAGGAATTCAGGCAGCACCAGTAGGATCAGCCACTCCACATCAGCTCCTAACCTCGTTGAGACTGGATCTTTTGGTCCTTCCATTTCCGATTTTCCTCCAGTCTCTGCAACACAGATCCACATATCACCCACAAGTGGGCAGGCAAGGCTTAATGTGGAAGATGTTCACACAGCAAACAAGTCTTTGGTGGAAAGAATCCGAGCTGCTTTACAGTTTGATCAAGACAAATTCACTTCATTTAAAGACATATCTGCAGAATACCGTCAAGGTTTAATGGACACTGCGATATATCTAGCGTATGTGGAGCAGTTTGGGTTGTCACATCTTGTTCTCGAGTTAGCTAGGCTCCTTCCTGATGCTCATAAGCAGAAAGAACTTGTTGAGACCTATAATGCGAGTTTGAGAAGTAATGGTTCACAAGCAACTGAAAACAGTTTCAAGCAAGACAGTAATAGTTTCAAGAAAGGTAAAGGGAAGCGTGCAGATGCCGAAAACAGTAATCTGAAGGATAACTTGTCAGATAGCATTTTGAGCACTGTAAAGAAACTGCAGTCGAGCTACAGGCCTTCAGAAGAGGAGGTGGAAGTGTTATCGAAGGATGGGTACCGAGCTGGCAGAGGCAAGTCGAAGGCAATGGTTAATGAGCTGCAGGCAGATTTGAGTTTACCTAGTGAATCGTCTGTAAAGTTGAAGGGGCAAGATGACTCCCAGTCAGCTGGTGCGAAAAGCAAGCAGCGGAAGAAAACCTCTAAGTTTCACCGAGTCCGCTTAGGTGATGGTTCGGTGGCAGCACTTTTGGATCTCAAAGATTCTGATCCTGACCCAGATCCAGATCCGGATTTTATTGAGGCAGCAAGCAATGGGAACAATAATCCCACTGAAGGGTTGCCTGTGCGTGGTGTTTGGCGAAATGGTGGAGGTCAGAAACTTTTGGCAAAAGCTCCAAGAAATCCCAAAAAATGATTCATGTTGGCCTTAATTTTTTCTTGAAATGTGCCAGTAGTTTATGATTAAGCTGGCATTTGAAGAGAAATTTCATCTATTGCTCCGTCCCATGTGTTTCAATATCATTTACGGGTTGAGCTGGTTTATCTGATGTTGTGAGCCTGGACAGTAAGATACACTGTGCAGCATGGTAATTCTGATCTGTGTAACAATGTTGTGTTGAAAGGGTTTGGTGTTTCCTTGTGTTGATTTATATCTTGATGATCAACTTTCTTTTTTCTTTTTTCTTTTTTCGGAGATAATTTTCTATTTTGGAGATGATTTTTTGAAGTCCTCCCTTTTGATTTTCAAGGTTATTTTCTGGTGGTCAGAAACTCATGTAGGTTGAATACAGTAGCATTGATGGAACTGCAGAAGGCAATTTGTTTTCAGTTGTGTGTAATGGTTAATATGTTGACAATTACCGTGTGGTCATATACTTCATTGTTGGATTAGTAGGCTCTATTGTATGTAGGGCAGCAAGTTAGGCTGGCCCAACTCAGTCTAGTCCTAACCCAACCTCAACCAGAAATTGGGTTGGGTTGGGTTAACCCGAATTGTACCCAGCATGGTTATGGTCATAACCTGGACCGAATATTTTTGGGCGGGTTGGGTTGGGTTGATGGGTTGCATTTATTTTTTTAATTATTTATTTATTTATTTTTGGTGAATTTTTATATATATATATATATATATATATATATATATATATTATTTGATTATATTATTATTAAAAAAACAAAATATTTTTAGGGCAACTCATTTCAGCCTCCCCAATCGCCTCCATATCTATTCTCGTTCTCGACTCTGAACTTGCTCTCTCTTTGTGTAACTGCAAACTACAAAATCTACAAGAATCAGAAGTTCAAAACCCATATCAGTTTCCATCGCCCGTGCTGTTCCAGTTTAGGTTTGCCGTTCGCAAGCTTCAGCCGCCGTCTCTCAACTCTCAAGCTTGGCCCCCTCTCTTTGTGCAACTGCTAACTTGTATGTATGGGTTTTGTTTTAATTTTTGGAAATGATGGTGGCAGCAGCAGAGGCGGAGGGATGGCGGAGGCGGTAGATCAGCGGCTGAGGGTGAGGGATGGCAGCAGCAGTAGAGGGGACAGTGGCGTAGAGAGAAAGAGAGAGAGAGAGAGAAGAGAGAGGAGAGAGAAAGGAGAAAAAAAATTATTTATTTATTTTGGGTTTTGGGTTGGGTTTGGATTAAGCCCGAGCCCAACTCGAATATGTCTGGGTTTTGACAAAACCCAATCCGAACATGAGTCCAATTTGTGAATTTAAAGTCTATATTTCAAAATTCTTAGGTTGGCCTGGGTTAGCCCACCCAAGTTGCATCCCTAATTGTATGGTCATATACTATTGCATATACTATTAGACTTGCAATGATATGAATTAGTGTTTGCTACATGTTTATATTTTTGGTCATATGCTTCATTGTTGGATAACCTTTGAAGGCCTCTTGTGGATATATATATATCCAAAAAAATTGCAGTTTTAGGATACTCTAGTGGGCATGCTAAGGTATGCAAGTATCTATATACCCATTAATTCTCTCCTCTTCCTCATGTTCTTGGCAATGCTCCAATTGGTGTTCTCTGAACTGCCTCCATGGGATATGAATACAAATTAACCCATGTTTGTGGAATATATGGAATTTTGTGCAATCCCAATTCATTACCCGGGGAAAAAAATCCTCTCTGGGCACCCTCTCATTGGAGGGTGTCAATTGTTGACATGGAGGCGTGACATGGCAGGTTGGTAAAAAAAGTATTTACTTTACTTATGTAAATACTACTACGTATGTATGTGTAGAAGAAGTTTATACAGTTGTTGATAAATACGAGCTTAAATTTCCCTCCAAATACTGTTGCTTCTTTTCCCCCCAAATTCTAAGATCTTATTCCCTCCAAAAGTGAAATGTTTGTATCATTATTTGGGTCTGAAATTCTGCCCTCTCTCCCTCTGTAATTGAAGTCATGAAGAATTCGGTGACTGACCAATATTCCGGCGGCTGATCAACAATCCGGCCAAAGTTGAAGCTATTGAAATGGTCTCTCTCCCTCGGTCTGTATATCCGGCTAATGACCAAGGTTCGTTCAGGTGTTTGTCCCTCTTAAATTGAAGTCTGAAGTCTCTGGTGAACGACGCTTCGTTCATGTCTCTCGTCCTCTGAAATTCAACTCTCCGACGAGTGACTAAGCTTCGTTTAGGTGTTTCTCCGTCTGAAATTGAAGTGTGAAGAATCCGGCCAAAGACCAAGCTTCGTTGACGTCTCTTTTCCTCGAAAATTCAACTCTCCCTTTGAAGAATCCGCTTGCAAGCTTCGTTCAGGTGTTTCTCCCTCTGAAATTGAAGTCTGAAGAATCCGGCCAAAGACCAAGCTTTGTTTACGTCTCTCTTCCTCTGAAATTCAACTCAAGCTTCCTACACATTCTCCGTCTTCAAAGAAGCATATATATATTTGTACAAGAATTTGGTTTGTTTGTTTTTCTGCATTTTTTTAAATTTCAGTGAAGCTAAATTTTACTTTGTTGTTTTGCATATGTATCTTAAATTTGCAGAGTCTATAGTTTTATTTATATGTTATTTATAAGTCTATTTTACATGGTATAATCACTGAATTTGTGATATATTACTAATTTTGTTTTATATTTGGGTTATGAAATACAAAACCCCTGACTTATATACGATTCAATGAAGACGCAAAAAAACAGTGTGAGAGAGATAATATTTTTTGCAATGGACATATGTGTTTACATATAATTTATAAGTCTATTTGTCATCTAATTATACTAATTGAAATTGTGATGTATTAGGGCATTTGTTTTATATTTGGTTTTTGAAATAACCCCTGAATTAATTTTGATTCAATAAATTAAGACACAACAAAACAGTGTAGAGTGTGATAATAGTTATAGCTGTGTAGATATGTGTTTAAATGTAATTTATAACCCTATTTTACATGTGATTATAGTAATTGAATTTGTGATTATAGCAATTGTGAGTGTGATATATTTTGTGTGACATATTCATATTAGTGGTGGTACATGTTAGAAAATTGTATGAATGTGTGGACATGCATTATATGACTATCTGTTAAAATAAGGTGAAGATGTTAGGTTCAAGATGTTGTTGACCTTAAGGATTTCATTGAATGACAATCTAGAGGTTTTGATGATAACAAACCATTAATGGTGTTTAAGGACTAATGTTTGCATTGAGTGTTATAGATTATTCACATTCAAAGGATGACCTCAATGAAGCACGAAAGATCATTCTAAGTATTCCATTATTTAAGATCATATCAAGGAAAGCAATGGATACAAAGAAGACATGAAGTTGTAAAGAAGCAAATGCAAAGTCTATCCAAAGATAGCTTGGACTACAATGAGCAAGAAAGCAACTCAAAGAAAGGAAGAAGCAAGTCTACCTAAAAGCCTACACGATCATGGACAAAGCTTGAAGAAAAGGGTAGATAGGATGGTGAGTGTTTATGATTCAATGTCAAAGTATTTATGAGTCCATTTGAAGCTCATCTCTATAGGACCATGCATATCATATCATCATTCATATGCTCCTATATCTATTAGCAATAGACTATGCACTTCATTCATATATAATTGCCTATGAAGTCATTACTAAAGAGTGAGTTAGTTCAAACTTGTATAAGCTTTGAAAGAACTCATCACTTGTGCTAGAAATGCTAAGACCATGCATATCAATCATATAATTCATATTGGTCAACAATTAAGGCATGAGAAGCCTTCATTACCATGAGTTGGTAACGGACATTAGGACCCCATAATGCGCGTCATGAAAAACTGTGTTTTTGGCTAAGTGTGAAAAATGGATTTTTGAAATAATAATCATTTCAAAATAATTTTTTCCGATAATAACTCTTTATACTTCAACTAGTTTAAACTGATTTTATCAGAATTTTTGACCAAGTCTACACTGGTTTACATAAGGATTCAATTTTACCAAAACTGTCGGAAATCCAAATTTGTACTAAAATTGAATTTCTACATTTTGATTTAGTTGGATTTCAATTTTCTAGTATTTTTTTATTGAATCCAAATGAGGGGTACTTCCTTATTTACATTGTAAACTTAAAGTAAATGGACATATAAAGCCATTTGCTTAAATGTTTTCACTGAAAATAAGGTATGTGCAGATGTCTTGTGCACAGACTATCACACCTGTTAACTTAGAACATTTCATGAGGCAGCAGGTTCATTTCGGTCTACCGAAATTCAGGACCATTATATTTTGGTCTACCAAAATAAGGAATCATGGCCAACCTGAATCATTTCGGTCTACCGAAACAGAGAAGGGTTTTACTTCGGTCTACCGAAACAAAAGTACTGAGAATGATAATCAAATCTTAAAACCATTTCGGACGACCGAAATAACTATGAGTTTCACTTCGATCTACCGAAATAAAAGTACTGAGAATGATGACCAATCTTAAAACCATTTCGGACGACCGAAACACAAGGGTGTTTCATTTCGGTCGACCGAACCTTGCCCAGATCTGAATCTGAAAGGCTATTTTGCCTTGAACTCCGTGCACAACAGCGATATTTTTGAATAGCTGCATCAGAACTCTATAAATAGAGTTGGGGACTTCGGGATTAAGGGTTGCTACCATATAGAAACATCTTCTAGCATCCAAAGAACTTTTGTTCTTCATCTCACAACATCCCATATCATTAGAAGAGTATTGAGCTTCATTGTATTCATATATATACTCTAGAGTGAGCTTAAACTTTGTATTACAAATCTGTGAGAGATTATTTTGTACTGAAAATCTGATATTCAAATCTATTATAAAGCCTAAGAGGAGGTGTTCTCTTAGCAAAGGAAGAAGAAGCTAGTTAGCTTCAATTTGTAAGGGTTGGTGTGACCCAAAGGAAGACTAAGAGAGGTTGTCTCTTAGCAAAGTGAAGCAAGGAGTTGCTTCATGTAAAGGTTTGCTCTCCACCCGTAAGGAGAAGCCATATTGGATTGGGAAGTCTTAAGAGGGGTCTTGAGTCGAGGAGTAGGAGTTTCCGAACCTCGCTAAAATAGCCGTGTGAATGTTTGCAATCTCTCTTCCCTTATCTCTTTTACATTCATGCTAGTAATTGTTCATGTTTATATTTTGATAATTGCATAATTGTTAGAAGGGTTTAGTAGAATTTACAAATCCGAAAATTGGCCATTGTTTGCCAAAGACTCTATTCACCCCCCCTCTAGAGTCTATACTTGGGTAACAGATGTGATGTTTTATTTTTTAAACTGTTGACACTTATGATGTTTAAGGTTATGTTTTCCATTTCAGAAGTTCATTTGCTTCCCACCTTAAATGATTTTCCTTTATGAGGTTGAGTTGAAGTATGTTCGGAATAATTTTGTATGACATCGTCATATAAGTGGTGGCACATGTTGGAAAAGTATATGAATAGATGTAAGGTAAAATATATGATGGTTTTTTTATTAAATTGTTGACACTTATTTGTATAAGGTTATGTTATTTAGTTGTAAAATTCATTTGCTTCCCACTTTAAATACCTCTATGAGTTTCAGTTGAAGTATGTGAGGAATAATTTTGTATGACATGTTCATATAAGTGGTGGCACATGTTGGAAAAATGTATGAACAAATGTTAAGTAAAAGATGTGATGATTTATTTATTAAACTGTTGACACCTGTTTGTAAAATGTTATGTTGTTGAGTTCAAAAGTGCATTTACTTACCACATGAAATGATTTGCCTTTATGAGGTTCAGTTGAAATATGTTAGCAATAATTTTGTATGACATGTTCATATAAGTGGTGCCACATGTCGAAAAAGTGTATGAATGTGTGCACATGTATTATATTACTCAATCTGTTAAATTCAGGTCTTGATGTTAGGTAAAAGTTGTGATTGTTTATTCATTACATTGTTGACATGTGTTTGTAAAAGGTTATGTTGTTGGGTTGAAAAGTGCATTTACTTCCCACTTGAAATGATTTGCCTTAATGAGGTTCAGCTGATGTATGTTAGGAATAATTTTGTATGACATGTCCATATAAGTGGTGCCACATGTTGAAAAAGTCTATGAATGTGTGCACATGAATTATATTACTCAATCTGTTAAATTCAGGTTATGATGTTAGGTAAAAGTTGTGATAGTTTGTTCATTACATTGTTAACACCTGTTTATAAAATGTTATGTTGTTGAGTTGAAAAGTGCATTTGCTTCCCACTTAAAATGATTTGCCTTAATGAGATTCAGTTGATGTATATTAGGAATAATTTTGTATGACATGTCCATATAAGTGGTGCCACATGTTGGAAAAGTCTATGAATGTGTGCACATGTATTATATTACTCAATCTGTTAAATTCAGGTCATGATGTTAGGTAAAAGTTGTGATTGTTTATTCATTACATTGTTGACACCTGTCTATAAAAGGTTATGTTGTTGAGTTGAAAAGTGCATTTGCTTACCACTTGAAATGATTTGCCTTAATGAGGTTCAGTTGATGTATGTTAGGAATAATTTTATATGACATTTCCATATAAGTGGTGCCACATGTTGGAAAAGTCTATGAATGTGTGCACATGAATTATATTACTCAATTTGTGAAAATCAGGTCATGATGTTAGGTAAAAATTGTGATAGTTTATTCATTACACTGTTGACATGTGTTTGTAAAATGTTATGTTGCTGAGTTCAAAAGTTGTGATAGTATGTTAGAAATAATTTTGTATGACATGGTCATATATGTTGTGGCACATGTTAGAAATGTGTATGAATGTGTGGACTTACATTATATTACTCTATCTGTTAAAATCAGGTGAAGATGTTAAGTTAAACATGTGATGGTGTATTTATTAAACTGTTGACACCCGTTTGTAAAAGGTTATACTGTCCAATTAAAAATGTGATGGTATATTTATTAAAATGTTGACACCTGTTTGTAAAAGGTTATACTATCCAGTTCAAAAGTTTTTTTGGTTCCCACTTTAAATGCTTTTCATTGATGTGTAGATGTTAGGTAAAATATTTGATGTTATATTTATTAAACTGTTGCTACATGATAGTGAAAGGTGGTGATAGTTAAACTATGCTAATACTTACGTGTTATGCTTACATTTGTTGGTTTTATATTTAAGTTATGGCCATGGAAGATGGAACTATTAATATTGAAGATATGGAAGATGGAACTATTAATATTGAAGATATGGAAGATGGGACTATTAATATTGAAGATACAAATAGCGAATCAGAGTGTGAGGTACATGAAGTACAATGGAAACCATGTCTTGAAATGGAGTTTGATTCTGAAGATGCGGTGTATGATTTTTACAACAATTATGGTGGCAGAGTCGGTTTTAGTATTTGGAAGGAGTACGCAAATAAAAGTCGGATGGATGGAAAAATAACATCCAGGTTGTTTGTTTGTAGCAAGGGGGGTTTAAGAGGTAAGGACAAGAGAGATGGAAAAACAAAGAAACCAAGGGCTGAAACACGCACAAACTATGGTGCACGCATATTAGTAAGGTGTGATGTGGGTTTGCAAAAGTTTGTTGTAAGATAGTTTGAAGAAAGTCACAATCATCCCCTCATCATGCAGCAGTGCACCCATATGATGCCATCGCAGCGAAAAATCAGCTCAGTTCAAGGTATTGATGTGGAGTTGGCTTGTGATTATGGAATAGCAGTTTGTAAAGCCTTCGAATTAAGCTCCAGGCAAGTTGAAGGTAGAGAAACAATTGGCTACACCAAGGTTGATGTACAAAATTATATTAGGACAAGAAGGCAGAATGAGCTAGAGTGTGGAGCGGCGGGTTGGCTCATGAATTATTTCCAAACTCAGTCATGGGAAGATCCATCATTTTTTCATGCTGTCCAACTGGACAAAGATACAATGATAACTAATATTTTTTGGGCGGATTCGAAAATGATATCAGATTATGGTTATTTTGGAGATGTGGTTATGTTTGATATAACGTACAAACTTGTCTAAGGTAACAGGCTTTTGGGTGTTTTTCTTGGTTTGAACCATCATCGGCAGGCATGTGTGTTTGGTGCCGCTTTCATATATGATGAGATGGCGAATTCGTTTGCTTGGTTGTTTAATACATTCTTGAATGCAATGTCCCGTAAAGTACCGAGGACAATATTGACTGACCAAGATGCAGCAATGGCAAAGGCATTAACAGAAGTAATGCCTGACATAAATCACCATCTGTGTACGTGGCACCTTATGTTTAATGCACAAAAGCATATCGGCAACGTGTCTGTTTGACATTGAGGAGCATGATGAGTTTTTACAGGAATAGTCTTTGATGGAAATGGAATTTGGTGTGGAGAATAATTCATGGTTGGCTAACTTATTTTGTTTGAAACATGCATGGGCCAAGGCATACGTAAAAAATGTATGGTCTACTGGTATGCGTACCACACAGCTAAGTGAAAGCTTCAACAGTGGGTTGAAACAGTACTTATCTAGACAATATGCACTTCCAGATTTCTTCAAGCATTTCGATATGTTGTTGTACGACAAGAGGTACAAGGAGTATGAAGCTGAATATGATTTGGTCCAGAAGATGCCTAGGATGAAAGCAAGATCTCCCATATTAGATCACGCCAGACGTGTGTACACTGCTAACATATTTGAACTTTTTCAGGAACAATTATTAATAGCTTGTATGAGTCAGTATATCCTGAACTGCAATGACAATGGTAACGGGGAATATGTGTATGAAGTTGCGTTGTATAATCAGAAGGTGATACAGCCTTGTGCACTGAATTCATCTCAGCCTTCGATATCCTTCCAAGTTTGTTATTAGATTTCTTATACTTGGCTATATAGTCAGACCTTTAATCATAATAAAGAATTTATTATCAACTTTTTAGACGACTCAATAGTTATTAAATGAATGTATATTGAATCAATAAACTAACTTTCCTACCATATCCAACAACAGAAGATAATATGCAATACAAATTATCTAATAATTATGTTTTAGGCCTACCTCTATGTTCTTTAGGTCTTAAAGGGAATAATTGTAAAGATCTAGTTGATAAGGTTATTAAACAGATTTCTCATTAGAATACAAAGCTGTTGTCTCTTGCTGGCAAGTTGGAGTTGATTAAAACAATAGTGAATCCTATCTTTCTTTACTGGTGTAACAGTTTTAATGTCCCTGTCGCTGTGACAAATCAAATTCAATAATTATGTAGACATTTTTTATGGGGGAGTATTGCTCATGCTAATAAAATACATCTGCTGAACTAGGATATTGTTAAAAATACAAAAACTGAATGAGGTTTTGGCTTTAAGAAGCTGTCTGATCTTAAAAGAGTGTCTAGAGTTGTGTTGGCTTGGGACTTTTTACTTAGTAAGGATAGGCTGTGGGTGTCTTGGTTTCGTCATCAAATATTGTGCTAACTCAATTGTTTGGAATGTGGTACCGACAAGTTCTAATTCTATCAGTTGGAAGGCTATTGTGGAGGCTAGAGCAACTATGTTGACATTTGTTTCTATTCAAGTTGGAAGTGGCCAAGAAATTATATTGTTTCTTGACCCTTGGAGTGAGGGGTTAACAATTACACAAATATTTGATCATACACTGCCTAGAAGGTTATGTTTACACAGGGATGTTTTAATGCAGAGTATTATGCTGAATGGAGGATGGAATTTTTGCTCTGTTGGAAAATGATTTGCTTCTTTTTTTCAGGGCTTATCTTGACTCTATCAGTATTCAGTCCAAACCACATAAATTGATATGGATTGCTGAAGTCCTACATTGGAATATGGAATTGTTTGCAGCTGTTAACACAGTTTGTGAGCTTTTTCTCTAGTTTAATTCTCAGTACCAGAGTTCAATGGTTCTGAAAATTTTATTTGCAGCATCTTTGTGGGCTATTTGGAAGGAAACAAATGATAGATTACATTTGGATGTTTGCACTATTTCTAATTCAGTGATCACACACATGTTTTTTGATATTGTCACAGTACAGAATGATAGTTAACAAGATATTACTATATAAATTGTGATTTTTTGTTGTTGTCTGTTGTTTGTGGTTTACTGAGGTGGACATTGTAGGGGACCCTATTTTTTGCTACTGTTTTGTTACCATGAACTAATTACAAGGCTTTATAAGTAAAATTTGTGACAATGTTAGTAAAAAGTTGTGATGGTTTATTAATAAAGATGTTTACACTTGTTTTTGAAAAGTTATTTTTTTCAGTTGAAGTATGTTTGGATATATTTTGTATGACATGTTCGTATTAGTGGTGCGACATGTTGGAAAAGTGTATGAATGTGTGGATATGCATTATATTAGTCTATTTGTTAAAATCAGGTGAAGATGTTAGGTTAAAGATGTGATATTTTATTTATTAAACTATTCACACTTCTGATGTTTTGTTACCAGGAACTGATTACAAGGGTCTGCATTTTCTATTTTTTTAGTTGTTATTTTTGGATTCATTGGTTTGCTATTTTACTTTCCATTTGACAGCTTCATTTTTTATTTCATATTTCTAAAAAGGAAACAATCACAAATTATTTCAACATTAATGTATTATGAATTGCATAGTACATAAAAAAAACCTTCATAACATGTGTATCTCTATTATACTTCTTATTGTAATAAATAAGATACACTTCATTTATTATTTCATATTTTAATAAAAATAACAACCACAAATTCTTGGAGCATCAATGTATTATGAATTGCATACCATACTAACATGTGTATTTACAGTTATACAACTAAAATTAACACAATGTGAATTTCCAGTTCTACAAATAAAATAAAAAACACTAATTTAATCAATCAAATTTTATATAAATAATCAATCTTTGTAAAACCTAAATACTTAAATAAATGCAATTGTGAATATAAATTTATTTCAACAACTTAAGGAATTTTTACCTATACATCACGAAGACTGTGGCAGGCGGTTTCACCAATGTCTGCTCCTCACCTGCAATATCTTCTTTGTTCATTGTTAGACACCGATTTCTTTTCCAATTTCTTCTTCGCTATAAAACCCTCGCAAAATCACAGTATAAAACCTCGCAAAATCACACGATTTCTTCTTTGATGGAATAAGATGCAATAACAACACCAACTGAACTACAACAACTGCTATTAAACAAACGAAAGGGAAGGCGGACAAACGAAAATACGATACCGCGTCGGAGAGAAAATGAGACGAACCAGAGGACGGAGGGAGGATGAAGGAGGAAAGATAAGGTGAATCAAGAACAAGATAACAGAAGTTGAGGAAATAAAAACTCAATGACCAAAGGGAAGCCGTCGGCGCACGGTTCGGACGGAAAACCAGAGGACGACGAAGGAAGAAGAACAGAAGCCTCGAACAAGAAGAAGAAGAATACGAAGAGAAGACAAGAAGTTAAAGTAAAAAGTGTAATTTGGGCCCACGTATAATTTTGGTATATTGTATTCGTATATGGTAAGTATGTATTTTGTCTGCAGTATTTGTACATGGTAAAAAAAGTAAGGTTAAAAACTTAATGCTGACATGGAGCTTTATCATCGCTGACAAGGCAATGACATGGCAAGATGGGCTGACGTGTCTTCATCCTAGCCCTTCGATCTGCCATTGTGACGACCTGGTTTTTAGGCTAGCATGTCATGTGATGAACCGTAAGCATGATCCGATAACGGATCTGAATGCGGAAGTGAAAATAGAAAACAAAACTCTAAGAAGTCAAAGTGACCTTCTATGAGGTCGTGGAACTCAACAAGAACTGATGCGGAAGCAAAGATCGAAAATATGACAATTAAACCCCCAAGGGCAAAATAGTCATTTATGAAAAATATAGATTCGGGTGCCACTAAGCACACCGCTGGAATGACAACGAAAAACTAATCAAGATGGACTCAAGAATCGCATGATACGGAGTCCGGACGAAGGAGAAACGGCATGACGAAGAAAAACGAGTACTTAAGGCAAAAAGGGTAAACTGGTAATTATCCAGGAAGAACCGGGTGCAACCGAGCACACCGTTGGAAAGACAACGAAAAATTAGTCAAGTTAAAAAAAAAATTCACTTGAATCGGAATCCGGACGAAGGAGAAAAGCCCAAAAGAAGAATTGACGTTGCGGTGGCCCGACGAGGGGCCACGACAGCCCCATGCGCACGCCCATGCGCGCGCCCATGCATGCCGCGCGCGCGCTGGTGCACACATGGCTGGCAGCAACAGCCCATAAAGCTACTGTGGGTTTGTTTTTCAAAAAAATCCTGAACAGAGGATGAATTTGGAGGCCTAGATGAATTTTTTTGCAAAAGCACAAAGAAGAAACCCCCCTCAAAATCGAGTTTTCTACGTGACTCGCTAGGAAAATCGAAAAAAACTCACTGTGAAATGCCCAAAATGCCCTCCCAAGAAAACTAGTCCAGAGGGTCCAAAAAGCTGCTAAATTGAAAAACTGAGAGCTAAACTTCGTATGTGATTTCCGATGCCAAGATGACATTTTCTGGAAAAACACGGAAAAGAAACCCCCCCTAAAATCATGTTTTATATTCAACCATATTGAAAGAAGAAAATAAAACCACCGTGAAAGGTCCATAATGCCCCTAGATCAAAATATGCAAAAAAAAAATGCGAAATGAATTCACAAGAGGCTCAAAACACAAACGATAAGGTTTTGCCCGGAAACGACCATGCATGCAAATGTAACTTACCTATTTGGACTTGCTACAATGGTCCACGACTTAAATATACCACCGATACAAAATTCGACCCCCCAACGGGTACAAAAGGCAAAAATGAAACTTGGAATGAAAACTCGGAATCCAAAAATACAAAACGGGGTCAAATGACCATTTAGCCCTTGGCCACACTTCATACAAGATTAATAAGACCCTATGAAAGAATGAAAATGGAATTCTGACACCCGATGCAACTATGGTGAAGCAATGACTTGCGATTTTTCAAGATTTTCATAATATTTCATGAAGTTAAAAAGTACATAGATCACAATATGATGGTCATTGGCCTCCGGCCTCATCTCATAAATATCAAATACATTGAAAGGAGTGTACTTAAGTACACATTACATACATGGAATCAAATATACATATTTTGACATATAAGTCTACAAAATGACATTTCATGCTAACATTTGCGTGAAATGAAAACTTGAAAGCTACACGACATTCAAGGAATGCTAGGCTTCACGAACCAAGTCTTCGTACCTGAAATATGCCCCAGTATCGTAGGGGTGAGTAACATAAAGCTACTCGTAGGAGATGAGCATGCATCGACCTAGCATTTTACAAATTTATCACCTTAAGGTGAAACATGTTAAAGAGGTTCATGCCACCTAATGTCTATATCGAAATGAGACTCAGGGAGCATCCTAAGCTACCTTAGAGTGTTTCTAGCATAAATCACATCATCTATGCCATTTAAACAATATGGAAGCCCGTTATACAAAGCAACAAGATATAGGTTCTTAAAGGTATTAACTTGCAATCTCGAATACAGAAACAACTAAAGTAATCATGTCACCTAACGTCTATGTTCTAAATAAGTCTAAGGAATCATCCTAGGCCATGCTGAACAATCAAAACGCAATTTACAACTTCAATGCAATCTAACCACATAAAAGCATATTATACAAGGCAACAAAATACAATTTCTTAAAGCTATCAGCTTGAAATCTAAAGCACGAAAACAACAGAAGTGGGTCATGCCACCTAACGTCTAAGTTATAAATGAATCAATAGGATCAATCCTAAGCTTTGTTAGAACATCAAAACACAATTTTCAATATCGATGCAATTTAACCAATATTGGAATTTCC